CGCGACAGACGTGTGCGTGCGCAACATAACACGTGTACGAATCACGTTACCCGTGGACCCCGTATGTTAATGAGAGATCAAATAATCGCGGTACATTCATCTCTTCTCCACTTCCACCACAACCCGTTCAACGTTCTTGCTCGAAGTTTCCGGCAGGTCTGACATCGGTGAAATTCGAAGTAGAACATCGTTAGGAAATATCGTCTCATTATCTGTTTTTCATACATATAAGTTACAGCGATAACTGAAAAATCTCATTTTTCTTTCTCTCACTGATACTTTGATATTAATTTTTCTTGTATTTTTCTCTCTTTTTTCACCAACGTGTTTCGACACGTTGATCGATATATTGATACGGATTTAATTGACTCCTTGGTAATTATTGATACGGATTTAATTGACTCCTTGGTATATTGATTTAAGAATAAAGAACTTAACGCTTCGGTTGTCATGACTAAGTGTAAATAATTGAGGGCTATATTATCCAAATACGCACGCGCACACACACTACTACCATTAATAAAAAAAAATCGTTTAATATAACAGACCCTTTAATTACTTTAATTTACTACATATCCCAAAATCACCAAAAATTTTTTTTAATCATAAATTTTTTAAATCAATTTAGAATCGATTTCTTCTTAGCAAATATGTCGAGGCATTAATAGCTTTTAAATTACTTATAATAATTAAGAAAAAAGGTTTTTTCATTTAACAAGATTAGGAAAGACAAATATATCAAGAGAGCAGAATTAATTATTTAATTAATTTTAGATATAGTTACTGTAAAAATCTTTTATTTGTAATAATTACAAAGATATGTGATGCAAACAATCAAAAGTTGTAACAAATATCACTCTTTTTTTTAAAGAGAACAAAATTGGATAGAGAATTCATAAAAAGATCATAATTTTCAGATACACTATATACTAATTTTTTTGTCATCAATCCTATTACGTAAAAACACACACAATTATATAATATTATACAATTACATGAAAATAAATGGATAATACAAGGTGGAATGTGGAATGATTTGTTATATCAAATTAGAAACACTTGCTTTTGTCACAAAAATACCTTGTGCCGGAAACACGAAATTAACACGTAATTGCTAATGAAATTGTACATGCCCCAATTGTATGTATATTGATACGAGATGCTAATGCACAGCGTCGCCCCTTCCACCGTAAAGCTTCCCAAATTGGAATTGACAATGCGTGTGACCTACTCTACGCATTGAGTTTTTAGAAATTCGAGGAATCTCGTTGGTTCATATTGGCTGTAGCTCATAAAATTAAGGATGTTTTATACGTGTTTTCAAAATGATAACAAAATTATGAAAAAATTACTGATTATTCTAAATCACGTTTAAAAATAATACGATAAATTTGGTAACAGTTAACTATGCGGATCATAAATTATTTTAATAAATAGTAGTGTTTTTTTAATCTTTGCTCTAATAAAAATATATGGAAATGTATTATAAAATAAATAAAAAATCTCAATTTTTTAATATAAGCACATTATGTATTCAAAATTATTTACATAAAGTTATATTGCGATGTATGAACTAGTTATCCAGTAAATAAACAAAATATTTTTTGCTCTATATCTTTGTAACTAATCAGCGAATCGCAATGAAATTTTGCGTAAATTATTTTGAATATTTAAAGTACTTATAAAAGAAGAATATAAATTTTTTAAATTTTAATTTTTAACAATAAAAATAATAAATAAACTACAAAAGTGTATTATTAAACAAAAATATAATCTTATTCACATAACTTTCATATGTATATAGTTTATTTGAAGTATAAATATTAAACATACTTTCAAATTTAACTTTCTTTGCAGGGATTGTACGTCTAATACATTCTTGAAATAGCTTAGTTAATGAAAAAACTGTGAAAAGAAATGCGTTACGTCTAGCACGACATGAGAAATATTTTTTAATTATTTTTCATGTAATATTTTAAATCTGCACAAATGTATCTTTCCAAATATGAATACATATTTTCCCTTATGTATTCATATTCGTCTTACGTATATGGAGCGCTCGTTTGATAAATCCATCCGCCACCGCATTGTTGTTCCGGTCAGCTCTGTTCCACGTCTATTGTGGGGAACCTCGTTAACATTTCCATCATCCATCATCGACATAGAGACGTTCTCGGTTGTTGTCGGTTTCCTGTCGGCTATCGACGAAACACGGATGGTCCCGTTTGGTACCGGTTATCTTCCTCTCAGTCACATTAGGATAATGAACTGTCGAGTTTTCTCTGTAAGCGTGGGACAAATGCAAAAAGAGACGCTAAAGCTACGGAATAAGAACAAAAATGGGATTATGGAAAAATGTGACTAAAAAAAATTGGAAAAAGCGAATTGATAACTTGTAGCGAAAACGGCGATTTTACGATATAAATTCTATTTTGCGAAATGGTATGAAGCTTTCTATTCTGGACGGAGGAGAAATAAGCGCAACACTTTTGCCCATCGCCCGGCTTTCCCATGCATGTATGTGTATGGATACGTGTGTTAAAATTAAGGCGATTCGACATATTTGTGAAACGAGATGATTTCAAATATGGTAAAATCTCATTTCGGTGTAAATTTCATCGAGTTTTATAGTCGACGCTTTAACGCACGCGCCGCCATGAAATATCATTTGCGTAAGCACGTATACGCTGCTTCACTCATCCAGGTACTTGTCCGCATTACGCCAGCTATAACACCGTTGCAACAATAATTTTAATCCGTTACTGATGGTTGAAATACCAGTAACATCGAATACATTTTGAAATGCTCGACAAGCGTTCGTCAAGAAGATCGTCAAAGAAAGGAGAAAGAGCGGTGAATGCAGGAAATTCTCTGAAAACGGAGAGCAAACTCCTTCCCTACGATATCATCGCTCGGGTCCAGGATCCCCTGTCGCCAAACGAGAAAGGCGCTATCCTCTCAAACAGATTATGAGTCTCGGATTTATTTTTACGACCGGCCAGATCCTACCGCACTCGTCTCTACGTAGAGGACAAGAAGGAGAAGGCGAGGCACTGATACCAACTCCTGCTTGATTCGATGGCAGTGCTTCGAATCACGACACCGTAAAATATATAGCGGTGCTTTTTACACAACGCGAGCGAAAATAATCTTTGTCGAACGTCCGACGATCGAGAAAAGACAGAGGTTGAAATCGCTGTGGATTATCCTTTCCTTCATGCGTCACAGACGAGAACAACACATCATTCCGTCCGGTGCACGACGCTGGAATTGGTTTAATGCGCGTTTTCGTGTATATATCGTAAACCGCAGCTGATTACCTAGGAAATTGAGATACAGACGGTACGTGAGTCGTGCGAGATCGTTCTTCCTTCCTTCATCCGCGCTCTTATCCGAGACCTCTATTTGCTCGAGTAATGAGCTTCCCGCTGTTAACGTTAGTGTGCCAACTCCTCGGACATTTGCCCGTCCGTAGAAATTCCTCGTGCATGAAAAATAACGGAGGTTATCAGCTCCCGCTATTACGGGGCTAAATGCATTACTTTCCAGACAAATTATGTATCGCTAGGATCAAAGACAGACAACGCGACGGTTTAAAAAAGATGATGTATCGAATAACCCCCCTTGCTTCCGGCTTTATGATAGATACGTGGTAAACGAAGTGCTGCAGGCAGATTACGCACGAATTTTTCTCTCTTTCTTTCTCTATTTTGCGATGAGAGAGATTTTACAAAAGAAGATCAAGTTGAGTATATATAGAACCTTGCGCGCACGCTGGTTTTCGCTGGATCAAGAAAAGAGTCTTATCTTCATGCGCACGACCTGGTTACTGAATAAATACGGTCGATTCGATTTGCCATCGATGAACTTTGCGATTCACTCGGTCTGGTCATCGCCTGGACTTGAAACGCCGTAAAATGCGAAGATATGGATTGGAGAACGGTAAAAGCGATAAAGGAAGGCGAAAAAATATCAGAAAGGATGATCATCTTGTAGTATCAAAATTGTTAGAATATTATAAGAAGGCAGGAATGTAGTGCAGGAATGGATATATACATTTCAATTTTATATTGTAGGCATGCTAGCAAGAACTCGTCGCTCTTGTTACA